TTTTGAAACTTATCTTTTTTAGACTTGCAAATCCCGCTAAGCTGAATTCAAAAGTCTGATTTGCTACTTTGTATCTGCTATAGATTGCCTCTCATTACTCCAAAGTATTGTCCTCTCAGTGTATATGCAAAAAAAATTGAACCAGTTAACCAAGTTGTATGTTTAATACTACAATTACATGTTTTACAAAATGTATAGCAGATAGTAATAGTTCTATAGATTAACAGTAAAACGAAATAGTCATAGTTCTATAGATTAACAGTAAAACGAAATCAACTTATAACCACAACTTATATGAATCATTCAATTCTGGAATTAAAGTGTCAGATATCATATAAGTTTATTAGACAAGATCAATGTTCATGCATAGTCGAAAATAAACTAAAAACGAAAAAACCCTAACTACAATTTTGAAAATAGAACTTTCATCCTAACCTTGAATGAGATCAGTATCTTCAGTCTAGGCAGATTTCAAGCTCAAATCAAGCTTGATTTCACAAATCGAACCTAGAAAGGACAGATTTCAGACGATATAGGCATACACGATTATCGCGATCTAGACGCGATTTGATAACAAATATAAAAATTGTCTGGCCGTGAAGAGATGAAGGCAAAACGAATCATAGTAGGATGATCTAGGTAGAGTATTGACAGAGAGATCGTGAAATTTGGGAAGAGATTTCGAGCTGCCCTGATCTGTTCGGACAGAGAGAGGAGAAGCGGTCAACGCTTCTCTTCATCTCTTATCTCTTCTCAATTATTCCGAAATAGTAAATAATATATATATATATATATATATATATATATATATATATATATATATATATATATATATATATATATATTATTTTTTTATGTTGTAATTTTCAGCAATTTATTTCATAAGGTTATGTTGTTTTATAGAAATTACAAATTTATGTTCTAAAATATTAAATTAACTTATGTTATGTGTATTTAATTTATAAAATAGATATTTATGATATATAATATTTAATTATATATTTAAACGTGGTTCACACTAAATTGTGGTCCAAGGTACACAATTTTTGGTCCATGGACCACCATGTAATTTGCCTTTTAATGTGTCTTACTGACACTAATTACATGAATATGTTGTATTGTCTTACAAGTGTAAGTGCGTTATGTGTACCAAAATGTGAATAAATTTTGTAATACGATATTTTATTTTTTATGATAATGTTACTCATTGTCCACACAAATTTGTCCAGGATGATCCACTGCATAAATTTTAATATAATTTATGCCTTATAATTTTTGCCTTTTCAATTATAAAATTGTGTACACAAAAATTGAAATTAATTATGTGATGTGTAATTAATTGGCAAACTTTCGAATTTTGTTAACTTATTATGTTATGTGTACTTAATTTATAAATTTGCTACTTATGTTATTTTAATACAATGATTACTACACATTATCAGTAAATTGATGGAACAACAAATATTTTGTCTTTTAATTTGAACGTGATTTATATCATTTACAAGTTTATGTGGTTCAATTTCAATTTTATTAGGTTATGTGATGTGATATGAATTTACGTAATGTCATAATTTTTATTTTTATAATTTGTTATTCTATTTCACAGAGAATACTTGCGCGACTTCATCAGCAACAAGTAATGATTCGCATAATGTAGAGCAACCTACACCATTGCGCCGAACACGTCCTTCAATTGCTTGGTGTTTGACTGAAAATATCACACCATTGAGTAACATCACAAATGGTAAATCATCTACAATTGAGTGATATACATTATTTGTGAATGTACATATCCTGTTTATTATATTATGATCGAATATTATTGTCAAATTTTTTGGTTGTATTAATATTATATAAGGCATATTAATGTTTATGAATTACATATGATTACAGTAGGTTCTTCCCAAACACACGTAATTTCTTCCAACCGGCAAGGAATTGTTTTTGAAGTGAAACAAAACACAATATCCGCTGTACCTGAGTCGTGCTTAACTGGTAACGTCGTAGACTAATATGTTATATAATCTTAAAACATTTAAAAGATAGGTATATTTGTTAATTTGAATATTGTATTAAATTTAGGTTGTAGATCACCACGTCAAGTTCATATTGGTAAAACAATACATGGTTCGGCAATTGAAGAAGGACATGTAATTCAAAGAGATTTGCTATCAGCCTTTGAAGAGGAGTCTGTCCCTTTACGTCTACAAATTCGCAATGACGTCATACCAGGTAACATTACTAACCAAATATGTTTTTAACAAATTATACTAAACTCAAATTGAACGCTGTCATTCAGTTCATATTCATTTATAGTAATGTTTATATATTCAGATTTAAACATTCCGATTGACGATGAGGAATCTATCCCTTTACGCAGTCCAATGCCAAACTCGTGCATACCAGGTACTCTTACGACCTGTATCTTTTCGTAACGAACGCTACCATAGTCAAATTTAACACTTGCACATTTCATTAGTTAATTAAATTTTTTTCGTTCGTATACAGATTTAAACATAACAATTGACGATGAAACGCATAACTTCGATACCGGAACATCCTCTGTTCATGCAAATGGTATTTTTGTTCGTATACATATCTAAACATAGCGATGCATGTACACTTTCTTTGGAAGAATATTTAAACAATAATTTGTTTGCAGAAGAGTATTATGATTTCGGTGATGCAAGCAATAGTTGTGTCCATTGTGGGGCGTTGTTTTGGGTCGAGGAAAGGAAGAAAAACTATTCCTCTAAAGGTCCACCGATGTTTCCATTATGCTGCAACAATGGCAAGATTAAGTTACAGGAGAATGCGTTGCCACCTAAAGGTATATTTGACATATTTTTTGGCAATGATGAATTATCAAAAAAATTCATCCAGGACATCAGAACATACAACGCCATGTTTTGCTTCACATCAATGGGCGGAAAGATAGACAAGAGCTTGAACAAGGGCGGAGCACCACCTGTGTTCAGGTTAAGTGGTCAAAACTATCACTTAATGGGCAGTCTCATACCAGAAGACGGAAAAGAACCACATTTTGCTCAGTTGTACATATACGATACGGCAAATGAAAAGAACAACCGTATAAAGGCTGTGAGGTAAGCATAGAACTTTTTTTCCAATTAAAATGTGATATTTTATCTATCAGCTTAGCAATGCATTGATGCGTGATTGTAGGGGTAGAGTTGATCAAGATGACATTCACGTAGAAATAGTGAATGTCATTCAGAATGAGTTGGATCAAAATAATGTTTTGGTTCAGTCTTTTCGGATGGCTAGATCTGAGCTTGAAAGTAACCCATGCGCTGAAGTCAAAATAAAGTTATTAGGGAAACGCACTAAAGATGCAAGGACATACAACCTGCCTCAAGTGTCTGAAGTAGCAGCGTTAATAGTTGGAGATCTGGATACTAGTATTGGTGAGCGTGATATTGTTGTTCAAGCTAAAGGTGGACAATTGTAAAGAATTAGTGAATTAAATCCTTCATACCTCCCACTGCAATACCCCCTGTTGTTTCCATATGGTGAAGATGGATATCGGGAAGACATTGCATTCTCTAACGTACATAGCAGTCGTTCAGCCGGTGGTCGACATAGGATTAGTCCCAGGGAGTATTTCTGCTATCGGTTACAGACAAGAGATTCTATTACCAGTACGTTGCTATTTGCAAAGCGCCTGTTACAACAGTTTGTGGTAGATGCATACACGATGGTGGAGTCTGGAAGACTCATTTATATCAGGACACATAAAAAAAGCTTAAGATGTGAATCATACAGTGGATTGACTGATGTTTTAACCAGGGGTGAAGTAAACCCTGCAGCACAAGGTCGAAGAATAATACTACCCTCAAGTTTCACAGGTGGTGCTCGGTACATGATACAAAACTACCAAGATGCCATGGCAATATGTAGATGGATTGGTTATCCGGATCTATTTATAACATTTACATGCAACCCAAAGTGGCCTGAGGTACAACGTTTTCTAAAAGATCGCAGGTTGAAAGCCGAAGACCGACCTGACATAATCTGTCGTTTGTTCAAGATGAAGTTGGATTCTTTGATTGCTGATTGTCGAAAGAATAAACTTTTTGGCTCTGTGGCTGGAGGTAATATTTTAGTTTAAGTTCACATTCATGTGTTTACAATTAAGAAAAATTACCATACGTTTTTTTTTTTTTTTTTTTTTTTCTGTTACAGTTATATATACAATTGAGTTCCAAAAGCGGGGTCTCCCTCATGCTCATATATTGCTTTTTTTGGGAAAGAATCAAGACGTTAGTAATGTTGTTACGCTAGATAAGATAATTTCTGCAGAGATACCAGATGAAAAGACAGATGTGCAATATTACAAAGCGGTGGAGGAATTTATGATGCATGGGCCATGTGGAAAAGCAATGACAAATTCTCCATGTATGGTAAATGCACGATGCTCGAAACATTTTCCTAAGAGATTTGTTGAGAGTTCTACATTTGATGCTGATGGGTACCCGGTATATAGAAGGAGAGACAACGGCAATATAGTTACAAAGAACGGGATCGCATTGGACAACAGGTATGTTGTACCACACAACAGACATTTATTGCTTAAGTATAAGGCTCACATAAATGTGGAGTGGTGCAACCAGTCACGCTCAATCAAGTACCTGTTCAAGTACGTTAACAAGGGTCATGACAGAGTAACTGCAGAATTCTACAACACAACCGGTGATGAAGAAAAGGGGAAAGCAATAGATGAGATCAATATGTACTACGATTGTAGGTACATATCACCATGTGAAGCAGTTTGGCGTTTGTTTGGTTTTGATATACAGCTTAGGGCGCCTTCAGTTGAAAGGTTAAGCTTTCACCTTCCAAATCAATAGAGCGTGATATTTTCAGATGACGATCCTGTCGAGAACATTGTAAATAGACCAACAATAGCACAAAGCATGTTCTTAGAATGGTTTGAAGCGAATAAAACTTTCCCAAATGCAAGAGAGCTAACTTATGTTGAAATGCCCACAAAATTCGTTTGGAAGAAAGACGTCCGAAAATGGCAACCAAGGAAAAAAGGTTTCTCAATTGGTCGGATATTTTATGTTCCCCCAGCTACTGGCGAAATATTTTATTTGAGGTGTCTATTGAATAAAATATGTGGGCCTACAAGTTTTGAAGATATCAGGACTGTAAATGGTGTCATGTATGACTCATTTCGAGACGCGTGTTATGCAAGAGGTTTAGTTGATGACGATAACGAATATGTTGATGCAGTTGAAGAAGCCAATCATTGGGCGTCAGCAGATCAACTGAGGAAACTATTTGTTACATTGCTAATGAGCAGTTGCATGGGTAAACCTGAGACCGTTTGGTATGCTGTGTGGCCACATTTGTCAGATGATGCACAATTCAATATCCGGAAACAATTGCACAATAGAGGTACTCATACATTCCACAACTACTTTTCGTTATATTGATATCACCATATAAAGTTAAAATTAAATCTAGGGATGTTAAATATTAAACTCTATATAACATTATGCAGATTTTGTGTTGAGCGATTCGCATAAAATGAACTTTGCTTTAGTGGAGATTGAAAAACTATTATCTATTCATGGAAAGAGTTTGAAGGACTATCCTGAAATGCCTGCTGCAAGCTGTACCGCATTACATATTATATCGAACAGGTTTATACAGGAGGAATTAACATACGACTGTTTGGAACAAGAGAAAGAGAACCTGGAGTTGGTAAGTCAATTAACTGATGAGCAAAAGGTCATATACAATGAGGTGTTAACCGATATTGATGGCCAGTTAGGAGGTTTATTCTTCGTTTAAGGTTATGGAGGTACTGGAAAGACTTTTTTGTGGCGTGCATTGTCTTTCGCACTAAGGTCTAAAAGAGAGATAGTGTTAAATGTTGCATCCAGTGGTATAGCGTCGCTTTTATTACCAGGAGGCAGAACTGCACATTCTCGATTTGCCATACCGATTTCTATTAATGAAGATTCAACCTGCAATATAAGTCACGGCAGTCAGCTGGCCGAGCTTATTGTGCAAAGCAAGTTGATCATATGGGATGAAGCTCCAATGATGCACAAATTTTGTTTTGAAGCCCTAGATCGAACTATGAGAGATTTGATGCATTTCCAAAATCCAAGGAGTTATGACATGACATTTGGTGGTAAAACAGTGGTGCTAGGTGGAGATTTCAGACAAATTTTACCAGTCATTCCGAAGGGTACTAGACAGGATATTGTCCGTGCTAGCATTAGCTCCTCATATCTATGGAAATCCTGCAAAGTATTGCGACTGACTAAGAATCTACGACTAAGAAGTGTACAGTCAGAAATCGAGTGTCGAGAGATCAACGACTTTGCAAAATGGATAGCTAATATAGGTGATGGAACGGTCGGTATTCATTTTGATGGTGGGTCAGATATTACAATTCCTGAACGTTTATTGCTCGAGTGTGAGGATGACCCTATTGCCACAATTGTTGATAGCACCTTCCCGAATTTTAGACAAGGGATGGTTGATCTGTCATACCTCAATGATAGTGCAATTTTGGCTCCAACATTGGATGTCGTAGATAGCATTAACGAATACATGAATGACCATAATCCGGCTGAGGGAAAGACATATTTGAGTTGTGATTCCGTTTGTAAATCAGATTCAAATGTTGATATGTTAGCAGATTTGCACACTCCAGAATTCTTGAATGGCCTTAGATGTTCTGGAGTACCAAATCATGCTTTGAGATTGAAAGTTGGGTCACCTGTTATGCTTTTGAGAAATATTGATCACACACTAGGATTATGCAACGGTACAAGGTTGATTGTTACTAGGTTAGCTGATCACGTGTTGGAAGGCAAGATCATGTGCGGTACAAATGCTGGAACAAGAGTATTAATTCCTAGAATGTCACTGACACCGTCAGATCCGAGATTGCCTTTCAAATTTCAACGGAAACAATTCCTGTTGATGCTATCTTATGCCATGACAATTAATAAAAGTCAAGGACAAACACTTTCTAGAGTGGGATTGATGTTGAAAAAACCTGTCTTTAACCATGGACAATTGTATGTAGCGGTTTCAAGAGTCAGTAGCCCAAGGGGTTTGAAAATTTTAATTTGTGATGAAAATGTACAATGTCTTAATACGACTAAAAACGTTGTGTACAATGAAGTATTCAACAATGTATAATATAATACGCAATGTTTTATTCCTATTTTTCGTTCGGTTAGTAATTGTAGTTTTTTTTTATTATTATTTTATACGACTTTTCTATATAATATATACGTACCTTTGCATCACAGTGGGTTCAACAAATACAGTGTAAAAGAATTAAATAATGTACAATACAAATTAAAAATTCATTATTTCAAATATAATAAGTACTAAAAATCTATATCTTTTCATATAAGTAGATTATACTTAATATAATACACAGTATATATATAGCCGTGCATCGCACGGGTGCAACTACTAGTTTATAGTAATATATAAATGGATGAAGAACGCACTCACGCACATTAATCAAATGCACGGAAAAATGATGCTTTCAATGATCGTTTATTATTAGTCGAGATTCTAGTATCATTAGAAAGTTAACTTAGAAAAATACCAACTTCCAAGAAGAAAGGTAAAATTGCACTAATGTGCACGAGTACCGAAATTCCTTCCCAAAATTGCATCGGCACTTGCTTGCCAATGCACCCTACTCTATACAATATTTAAGCATATTTTGAGAAAATGATACTAAATTACAAACATGATAATATTGCATATTTGGTCAGTAGACAAACTAATATGGCTAGCACTTTGCTCCTTAATTAGGAGAACCTGGTATGAACGAGGTCTGAGTGGGTACGAGCTTAAAAGGTACATCCTACCCCGTTAAGACGGTTCAGAACACCTCATGAATTGACAAAAAATAATTAGAGAATATTGCATTAATAAACAAAGCCTCATGGGATTGATTGAAAATACATGTGACTCAAATTACAAATCCCATTAACATCGTGGGTAATAGTACACATAATAATTTAAATAGAGGACGAAGTCACATTATTTGAGGTTTCTTCTTGCTCTTCTTGAAATTCTTTGAAGCAGCTTTCAATACCTTTGCCCATCCCTGCACGTCAAAAGTCAAAACCATACACACATATTTATCACATTTAAATATAAATCCAATTCTTTTAACCAATTAAATAATTACCCAAAAATCAGCATAAAGAGTAGTAAATAGAACCCTATGTAAAAAATTTTAAAAATTTAATTTTGAGTTAATTACTGAAATGATCCATTGATCATATAGAGTTACCAATTTAGTCATTGATTTTTTTTTAAAAAAATCTAATTAAGTCATCAATTTTAAAAATTTTAACCAATTTAGTTATTTGTTTGTTTATCTGTGAACGTCTGTTTAATTCAAAGATATGACTGGAATTTCACATTGCTTCCTAGGCTATCGGGACCAAATTAATACTTTCATTATAATTAAAGGAACATTGGCTATAGCAAAATTATCAATTTAGATTTATGACACTAACCGAACAGATGACTAAATTGGTTAAAATTTTTAAAGATGAAAACTTAATTAAGCAACAAAAACAATCAATGAATAATTTTGCTATAGTCTATACCACTTTAATAATTAACTGTTTAATTTTTTTAGAAAAAAAAATAATTAACCAAAAAAAAAAAAGGAATTGCAGCAGTTACCTTTCGTGGAGTATTTGTGAGCTTAGAAGAAGAAGGGATCGGAGAGAAATCAAAATCCCTCTTCTTCCTCTTCTTCAACTGTTGATAACGGACATTGCAGGACACGGCATCTAGAAACTTCCTCTTGAATTTGGCCGTCACTTCCTTGAAATTGGTCCTGGTTTCCGCGTACGTCAGCTTTCTCCGGAGGCCGGAGCCGAGATTGCCGCGGCCGGAGACGGGGATCAGGGGGCGGGCCACCATGGGGGACCAGATTGCGCTCTGAGAGTAGTCGAAGTCGAAGGCGGAGTTGTCCGGAAACTTGCAGAGTAGATCTCTCGACATGGTGGTCTCCAAGTACTCTACCACCATCACCAGGGGTGCGCCACCGCCGCTGTGACAGTCCGCCGCCGCCATCAGAGGGAGATCTGTTGAGTTCGCGGAGTGGAGTCGAGAGTGTAGAGAGAGTTGGAAATCAGCAAATACAGACTCGGAGAAGCAAAATCTAAGCATATATATATATATATATATATATATATATATATATATACAATTATACATACACGGAAAGTATCCGTTGCGGAAAGAGGGGCCCACCATTCCCCAAACTGCCAAAGTTGTTATTTCTTTAATTGATCGAGAGCACAACATTCATCCAAATTTTTTTTTTTTTTTTTTTTTGAAAGTCATCCAAATTTTATTTGGTTATGTAATTCTCGCATATAAAAAATCATAAGGTGGCACGAGTTTAGCTCGCTGATTGAGTAAGTAGTATCTAAGGTAGGAGACTAATGTTCAAAATTTAATAGCAGTGGCAGGGCTAGTCTAAATATGGTAAATTATTGTGTGGACCATGGTCCACGTAATGTTGTATGGACTATAAAAAAGTATATTTTTAATGTACTAAAAGTACATTATTTGTGTACTGAATATACATTATATAAAATAATGTATATTTAGCATTCACATAATGTACTTTTCCTAAAAATAAAGTACATTTTAATATATTAAAAGTACATTATTGGTGTACTAAATGTACATTATTTTATAGTATACAAAATATGATCCACACAAGCTGTGTGGGCCATGGTCCACACAATAATAATTGTCCAAACATTTATTAGGCCTGTGGTGAAATTTAAAAAAAGGCCCCTATATGAAAAATTAAAATTAAAATTTAATAATACTAAAAAAATGATAATATCAAATAACAAGAAATAAGATTAGAAAATTTTCAACAATTTTTTAAATACAAAAATAATCATGAAAAAAAATTTCTACGTACTTTACTCGATGCAAAATCATCGATAATTGCATCAAGATTAATATTCTCTAGCATATCTTTCTCAATACACAAAATCGCCAAATCATTCAATCTTTCTTGTGACATTGAAGATCTTAAGTAGGTTTTCAATAACTTCAATTTTGAAAAACTTCTCTCCGTTGATGCTACAGTCATGACTATTGTTAATAATATTGGGAAAATGACACTTTTTCCCCCTGTGTTGTTTACATATAACATATTTTCCCCCTGTGTTGTTTATGTAACCACTTTATTCCCCTTAATTGTTTTTGAAGTGGCTATTTTTCCCCTCTCCGTTAAATAAGTGTTAGGGCTGTTAAATATGAGGGTAAAAATGACATTTCACTTATTATTATTATTATTATTATTATTATTATTATTATTATTATTATTATTATTATTATTATTATTATTATTATTATTATTATTTGCTTAAATCATATTTTGTTTTTTTTTATGATAGTTATCTTATTTATAATTTATTAATTAATTTAACTCTTTTTTAGTTACTTCGTTAATTTTTTAAATTGTTAAATTAATTTTTTTTGTGTTTAATAATATTTTTAATAAATTAAAAATAAAAAAAGTTAAATTATACGGAGTATTAATTTAAAGAAATGTTAACATATTTTATTATATTTGAATAAAATAATAATAATAATAATAATAATAATAATAATAATAATAATAATAATAATAATAATAATAATAATAATAATAATAATAAGAAGAAGTGAAATGCCAATTTTACCCTCATATTTAACAGCCCTAACACTTATTTAACGGAGAGGGGGGAAAATAGCCACTTCAAAAACAATTGAGGGGGATAAAGTGGTTACATAAACAACACAGGGGAAAAATATGCTATATGTAAATAACACAGGGGAAAAAAGTGTCATTTTCCCAATAATATTTGATAAGCAATAGAAACCATTGGGTAGCAATCCGTAACTTTGACAAACTCAAGAATCTCAATCGCTGACATAAATGTGTCTAGCAAAGTCATCTATAACACTTTTAATTCAGAGAAAAGATTATCAGAATCAACATCAAACATATCATTATGAGAAAAATTAATTGCAACATTCTCTTAGTTTATTTTTGAGTTAATTCCAACAATGGTTCTCTGACTGTTGTAATTTTCCAAAATTGATCCTCGTCTTTTAATTTGGACGAAATAGACCCTTGACTATTGGTGAGCTGTCGTAGGCTTCCAAATTAAAACCTTACAAACGTAGTAGCGGGAGTAAGGATCGATCCCACGAGGAGTAACTAGTTTAACTTTTGTGCTCAAATTAAAGGTAGGGGGGGTTTGGAATATATCGAGAATAAAGATAAAATAAAAGAGAATTTAAATAAACAAGAAATTTAATTGAACGAATAAAGCAATGAAAATAATATATCGAAAACACTTATAATAGGAGACCTTGGTTAGTAAAGATCCACCACCGGAATTCAACACTGATCATTGATTAATAAAGTAATTAATATGCAATTGAATATTTGTCGTGAAATTATTTCATTTCTGTTTTCCCTTAGTTGTAGATAAATAAAGCACAAGCGGTTTAATTACCCCTAACTACTAAATAATCTAAGACAAGCGCTATAGATTTAATTTAATAGCAGCAATAGGAACTAGGAAAACTGACAAACTAAATAACACAAGCACAAGCGGTTGCATTTAATTTAGGAAAATATTCTACCCGAGACCAATTATCACTAAGCCGTCAATAATTAACCTCAGTTGCTACTGAATATTAGAATAATTTGTAGCACAACATTATCTAATATAGCAAATAATTATATCAAATAAATAACTAGTAGGCCTCCCTAGCAATTAAATGATACAACTATTCAAATAATTTAGAAGAATATTTAATACTCAAAATGCATAAAAACATATATATAATAAAATTAAATAAATAACCTTACAACGTTATGAACTCCGGGGCTTCAATTCACTAAACCAACTTGAAATTAGCCACAAATAGACATTGATAACAACTTCAACGAATACTATAGAGGAGGAAAGAATGAACATTTTACAATAGAAAACCTTAACTATTTATATATTTTCCCAATCATTTTCTACCACTCATTTTTCCTATTATTTT